TACTCTTATATGGGGGCTATACGAAGACGTGACCCCGCACAGACAATTTTCTGTCTCAGGCTGTAGCATCCATTACAAACTTCAAATGCCAAATTTGAAACAATTCCAGTGAAAAATGTCGCTAAAATCATACAAATACCGAAAAAAGGGAGGTACCCTTATATGGGGGCTATACGAAGACCTGGACCTGCACAGACAATTTTCTGTCATAGGCTGTAGCATCCATTACGAACTTCAAATACCAAATTTGAAGTAACTCCGGTGAATAATGTCGCTAAAATCATAAAAATACCGAATATCGGGAGGTACCGTTATATGGGGGCTATACGAAGACCTGGACCTGCAAAGACAATTTTTTGTCTTAGGCTGTAGTATTGATTACGAACTTCAAACACCAAATTTGAAACAATTCCGGTGAAAACTGTCGATAAAATCACCAAAATACCGAATATCCGGAGGTACCGCTATATGGGGGCTATACCAAAACGTGGACCTACATCACACATTTTCAATACGAAAAGTCCTGCAGACTTAATACACATTTGAGTAAAATTTTATCAATTTACTTCATTTCGTTCGGAAGCTAGAGTGATTTCCACAGACTGTCGGACATCGCTAAATCGACATTGAATTTTATGCTGATCAAGAATATATGTATATAATTTGTGGGGTCTAAAATGTATATTTCGAGGTGTTACAAACGGAATGACAAACTTAATATACCCTCCATACTATGGTCGAGGGATCTGCGATTTTTTTTGGGGATGGGATCTGCGATTTTTTTTCTGTGGAAAAAATTAAGACCCATTGGGGGGGTCTGTGAATTTTTTTCTATGGGAAAAAATTGAGACCCAGGGGGGGGGGGGTCTGTGAATTTTTTGCTATGGAAAAAAATTGGACCCTGGGGTCCGGTGAATTTTTTTCTATGGAAAAAAATTGGACCCTGGGGTCCGGTGAATTTTTTTCTATGGAAAAAAATTGGACCCTGGGGTCCGGTGAATTTTTTTCTATGGAAAAAAATTGGACCCTGGGGTCCGGTGAATTTTTTTCTATGGAAAAAAATTGGACCCTGGGGTCCGGTGAATTTTTTTCTATGGAAAAAAATTGGACCCTGGGGTCCGGTGAATTTTTTTCTATGGAAAAAAATTGGACCCTGGGGTCCGGTGAATTTTTTTCTATGGAAAAAAAGACCCAGGGTGGGGTCTTTGAATTTTTTTCTATGGAAAAAATTGATACCCTGGAAAATTCAATTTTTTCCCTTTCAAAGTGAAACAAATACAAATTTGCCAATATCTCTTTGACATCCATTTATTTGCATTTCTATTGTTTTTCACAAGCCCCCAGAACAAATAGTTTTTTTTTTTTTCCACAATACCAAGTGTTGACAATTTTTGTTTTTGCCAGCATGAGTACAACAACCACAACAAATTGGAACAAGAAGCGTTCAAGTGATATGCTCGAACCATGTTTCTTTTTCGATTTGTGTTTCTATTTGATTGCCATAAAATATGTCTGTCCACAACATCCAAATACACAAACACACACACACAAACCATGTTGTCTGTGAAATATTGCCCACACACAAATCACCAAGAAATAGAAGAAGACAAACGCCAAAAGCTTCAAAACATTTTCATGGATATTCAAAGGCATTGCTCTTCGGCGGTGTGTAAGGCTTTTCCTCAAAAATCATTTTTTTTTTCTTTTCAAAATTTTTATTTCGACGCCATGACGTCAGAACCTTGAAATGAGGCCAACCGCACAACGAAGACGACGACCACGACGCAATGTGAAATGATTAATAATAATTTTAGTAGATCAGACGAAAGAAAAAAATCAAATGGCAAAGAATTTTTTATTGTCTTCGTTTACAAAATAAATTTTCAAAATAAAATTTTTAATTAGAATTGGATTTTTCCTAATGAATATTGAATGGATTCTGAATGAGTCGAAAAAAATGGAAATTCATTATTTTCCATTCGATTTTCTTTTAATAGACTTTCCAGGAAATCTGATAATGATGATTTGTGTTATTGGCTAAATATATTTGGCATTGGGGGTTGCTGGCGGCGCATCGAACACGGAACAAGAAAACGGAAATAACCAATGAAAAATTCCAAAACAATTATGATGAATAATGAATGTGGAAAGTTAGCAAACAAATTGGCTGGCCAGCGCAGACAAATGCTGACCCACAGACAAATCCATGTAAAACGACAATGACATGGCCATCGGCTGTAACCTTTCCGAACAAATTGGCTTAACTTGTCATTTGTTGGGTTTGACAAGTATTTAAAGAAATTTTCCATAATTTGTTTGTAATATTTTCAATTTAAATGAATTAAAGCCTAAAAGTAGGCAACACATTTTCTTTTCAAATTTTTGCTTAGGAAAAAAAAATTCACGGGTCTTGATTTTTTTCCATAGAAAAAAATTCACAGACCCCCCTTGGGTCTTAATTTTTTTCCACAGAAAAAAATTCATGGGACCCTGGGTCTTAATTTTTTTCCATAGAAAAAAATTCACAGACCCTGGGTCTTAATTTTTTTCCAGAGAAAAAAATTCACAGACCCTGGGTCTTAATTTTTTTCCATAAAAAAAAATTCACGGGACCCTGGGTCTTAATTTTTTTCCATACAAAAAAATTCACGGGACCCTGGGTCTTAATTTTTTTCCATAGAAAAAAATTCACGGGACCCTGGGTCTTAATTTTTTTCCATAGAAAAAAATTCACGGGACCCTGGGTCTTAATTTTTTTCCATAGAAAAAAATTCACGGGACCCTGGGTCTTAATTTTTTTCCATAGAAAAAAATTCACGGGACCCTAGGTCTTAATTTTTTTCCATAGAAAAAAATTCACGGGACCCTGGGTCTTAATTTTTTTCCATAGAAAAAAATTCACGGGACCCTGGGTCTTAATTTTTTTCCATAGAAAAAAATTCACGGGACCCTGGGTCTTAATTTTTTTCCATAGAAAAAAATTCACGGGACCCTGGGTCTTATTTTTTTTCCATAGAAAAAAATTCACGGGACCCTGGGTCTTAAATGATAATGACCTGGGAAATCTGATAATGATGATTTGTGTTATTGGCTAAATATATTTGGCATTGGGGGTTGCTGGCGGCGCATCGAACACGGAACAAGAAAACGGAAATAACCAATGAAAAATTCCAAAACAATTATGATGAATAATGAATGTGGAAAGTTAGCAAACAAATTGGCTGGCAAGCGCAGACAAATGCTGACCCACAGACAAATCCATGTAAAACGACAATGACATGGCCATCGGCTGTAACCTTTCCGAACAAATTGGCTTAACTTGTCATTTGTTGGGTTTGACAAGTATTTAAAGAAATTTTCCATAATTTGTTTGTAATATTTTCAATTTAAATGAATTAAAGCCTAAAAGTAGGCAACACATTTTCTTTTCAAATTTTTGCTTAGGAAAAAAAAATTCACGGGTCTTGATTTTTTTCCATAGAAAAAAATTCACAGACCCCCCTTGGGTCTTAATTTTTTTCCACAGAAAAAAATTCACAGACCCCCCTTGGGTCTTAATTTTTTTCCACAGAAAAAAATTCATGGGACCCTGGGTCTTAATTTTTTTCCATAGAAAAAAATTCACAGACCCTGGGTCTTAATTTTTTTCCATAGAAAAAAATTCACAGACCCTGGGTCTTAATTTTTTTCCATAGAAAAAAATTCACAGACCCTGGGTCTTAATTTTTTTCCATAGAAAAAAATTCACAGACCCTGGGTCTTAATTTTTTTCCATAGAAAAAAATTCACAGACCCTGGGTCTTAATTTTTTTCCATAAAAAAAAATTCACGGGACCCCGGGTCTTAATTTTTTTCCATAGAAAAAAATTCACGGGACCCTGGGTCTTAATTTTTTTCCATAGAAAAAAATTCACGGGACCCTGGGTCTTAATTTTTTTCCATAGAAAAAAATTCACGGGACCCTGGGTCTTAATTTTTTTCCATAGAAAAAAATTCACGGGACCCTGGGTCTTAATTTTTTTCCATAGAAAAAAATTCACGGGACCCTGGGTCTTAATTTTTTTCCATAGAAAAAAATTCACGGGACCCTGGGTCTTAATTTTTTTCCATAGAAAAAAAATTCACAGACCCTGGGTCTTAATTTTTTTCCATAGAAAAGAATTCACAGACCCTAAGTCTTTATTTTTTTTCCATAGAAAAAAATTCACGGACCCCTGGGTCCAAGTTTTTTCCATAGAAAAAAATTCACGGACCCCTGGGTCCAAGTTTTTTCCATAGAAAAAAATTCACGGGAGCCTTGGGTCCAAGTTTTTTCCATAGAAAAAAATTCACGGGACCCTTGGGTCCAATTTTTTTCCATAGAAAAAAATTCACCGGACCCTTGGGTCCAATTTTTTTCCATAGAAAAAAATTCACAGGACACTTGGGTCCAATTTTTTTCCATAGAAAAAAATTCACGGGACCCTTGGGTCCAATTTTTTTCCATAGAAAAAAATTCACTGGACCCTTGGGTCCAATTTTTTTCCATATAAAAAAATTCACGGGACCCTTAGGTCAATTTTTTTCCATAGAAAAAAATTCACATACCCTGGTTCTTAATTTTTTTCCATAGAAAAAAATTCACAGACCCTGGTTCTTAATTTTTTTCCATAGAAAAAAATTCACAGACCCTGGTTCTTAATTTTTTTCCATAGAAAAAAATTCACAGACCCTGGTTCTTAATTTTTTTCCATAGAAAAAAATTCACAGACCCTGGTTCTTAATTGTTTTCCATAGAAAAAAAAATCGACGGAACCATGGGTACATGGTCAATTTTTTTCCGTAAAAAAATTTTGGCAGATCATAGGGTCAATTTTTTCTGTAGAAAAAAATTTGCCAGACCCAATTTTTTTATTTTAAAAATTTTGTAGAATATCATTTTCCCTTTTTCTGGTCCATAATACCCCCTTTTTGAAACCATTTTCTAATTTATTTTTTCCATTTTTTTCCTCTATTTCTAGTGCGCAGTTGTCGTACCGGTAAATCTGTACAAATGTCAGAATCCGAAGTTCGAGGCTTATGTCTAAAATCCCGTGAAATATTCCTACAACAGCCGATATTGCTAGAGCTCGAGGCTCCACTGATCATTTGTGGCGACATACATGGCCAGTACACAGATTTGTTGCGTCTCTTCGAATACGGAGGATTCCCGCCGGCAGCCAATTACTTGTTCTTGGGCGACTATGTGGACAGAGGCAAACAATCCTTGGAGACCATTTGCCTGCTGTTGGCCTATAAAATTAAATATCCAGAGAATTTCTTTTTATTGCGTGGCAATCACGAATGTGCCAGTATTAATCGTATTTATGGTGAGTCCGCAAACCTATTTTCAATTCTGGAAGTTGATAATGATCTCCATTTTTTTCCTCCTTCCAGGTTTTTATGACGAATGCAAACGACGCTACAATGTCAAGTTGTGGAAAACCTTTACAGACTGTTTCAATTGTTTACCCGTCGCCGCCATCATTGATGAGAAGATTTTCTGCTGTCACGGCGGCCTGAGTCCCGATCTCCAGGGCATGGAACAAATTCGACGCTTGATGCGTCCCACAGATGTACCCGATACTGGTCTATTGTGTGATCTGTTATGGAGCGATCCGGACAAGGATGTCCAGGGCTGGGGTGAAAATGATCGTGGTGTTAGTTTTACATTCGGTGCTGATGTGGTATCGAAATTTTTATCAAAACATGAAATGGATCTGATTTGTCGTGCCCATCAGGTGAGTGAGACAGCTGCGATAGACTCCTGTAATTTTTAATTAATTTTCATATTTTCCTTTCAGGTCGTTGAGGATGGTTATGAATTCTTTGCCCGCCGTCAATTGGTGACACTATTTTCAGCTCCCAATTATTGTGGTGAATTTGATAATGCCGGTGGCATGATGACTGTGGATGATACATTAATGTGCTCATTCCAGGTGAGAGGAGCAGGAAAATGTCATATTTTTCCATAGAAAAAAATTCACAGACCTCTCTAGGTCTTAATTTTTTCCATAGAAAAAAAATCACAGACCTGCCGGGGTCTTAATTTTTTTCTATAGAAAAAAATTCACAGACCCCCCGGGGTCTTAATTTTTTTCTATAGAAAAAAATTCACAGACCCCCCGGGGTCTTAATTTTTTTCTATAGAAAAAAATTCACAGACCCCCCGGGGTCTTAATTTTTTTCCATGGAAAAAAATTCACAGACCCCCCGGGGTCTCAATTTTTTTCCATGGAAAAAAATTCACAGACCCTCCGGGGTCTCAATTTTTTTCCATAGAAAAAAGATCACAGACCCCCAGAAGTTTTAATTTTTTTCCATAGAAAAAAATTCACAGACCCCCTTTGGGTCTTAATTTTTTTCCATAGAAAAAAATTCACAGACCCCCCTGGGTCTTAATTTTTTTCCATAGAAAAAAAATCACAGACCCCCTGGGTCTTAATTTTTTTCCATTGAAAAAAATTCACAGACCCCAGGGTTTTAATTTTTTGCCATAGAAAAAAATTCACAGAAACTAGGTCTTAATTTTTTTCCATAGAAAAAAATTCACAGACCCTAGGTCTTAATTTTTTCCCATAGAAAAAAAAAAAATTCACAGACCCTAGGTCTTAATTTTTTCCCATAGAAAAAAAATTCACAGCCCCCTGGGTCTTAATTTTTTTCCATAGAAAAAAATTCATGGAACCCCGGGTCTTAATTTTTTTCCATAGAAAAAAATTCATGGAACCCCGGGTCTTAATAGAAAAAAATTCACAGACCCCCTGGGTCTCTATTTTTTTCCATAGAAAAAAATTCACAGACCCCCCTGGGTCTCTATTTTTTTCCATAGAAAAAAATTCACAGACCCCCCTGGGTCTCTATTTTTTTCCATAGAAAAAAATTCACAGACCCCCCTGGGTCTCTATTTTTTTCCATAGAAAAAAATTCACAGACCCCCCTGGGTCTCTATTTTTTTCCATAGAAAAAAATTCACAGACCCCCCTGGGTCTCTATTTTTTTCCATAGAAAAAAATTCACAAACCCCCCGGGGTCTTAATTTTTTTCCATAGAAAAAAATTCACAAACCCCCCGGGGTCTTAATTTTTTTCCATAGAAAAAAATTCACAGACCCCCCTGGGTCTTAATTTTTTTCCATAGAAAAAAATTCACAGACCCCAGGGTCTTAATTTTTTTCCATAGAAAAAAATTCACAGACCCCAGGGTCTTAATTTTTTTCCATAGAAAAAAATTCACAGACCCCTGGGTCTCTATTTTTTTCCATAGAAAAAAAATCACAGACGCCCCTGGGTCTCTATTTTTTTCCATAGAAAAAAATTCACAGACCCCCCTGGGTCTCTATTTTTTTCCATAGAAAAAAATTCACAGACCCCAGGGTCTCTATTTTTTCCATAGAAAAAAATTCATGGAACCCTGGGTCTTAATTTTTTCCATAGAAAAAATTCACAGACCCCTGGGTCTTAATTTTTTCCATAGAAAAAATTCACAGACCCCTGGGTCTTAATTTTTTCCATAGAAAAAATTCACAGACCCCTGGGTCTTAATTTTTTCCATAGAAAAAATTCACAGACCCCTGGGTCTTAATTTTTTCCATAGAAAAAATTCACAGACCCCTGGGTCTTAATTTTTTCCATAGAAAAAATTCACAGACACCTGGGTCTTAATTTTTTCCATAGAAAAAAATTCACAGACCCCTGGTTCTCTATTTTTTTCCATAGAAAAAAATTCATGGAACCCTGGGTCTTAATTTTTTTCCATAGAAAAAAAAATCATGGAACCCTGGACCTTAAATATTTTTCTTTTTTTCGATCCCAAGTATTTTTTTTTTTTTCATTTTTTCCTAATTTCCCCTTTTTGTTTGTGTCTTCCAGATATTGAAGCCCTCCGAAAAGAAGGCCAAATACATGTACAGCGGCATGAATACATCACGGCCAACAACACCGCAACGTAACGCGCCTCTAATAGCAACGAATAAGAAGAAATAATACATCCATCCGCTTCCATTTCCTTAAAAGTTATTAAATTATTATATACATATAAAATTTGATAATAATAATTATTATAATTATAATACGACAAAAACAAGAAGAACTACAAAAACAACAACAACAACCACAACAGCAAAAGCAAATAAATTAACAAAAAATCCAACTACAAAACAATTATCATCATCAGCGTCAGCATCAGCAACACCTCGAAATGAGACAAAACTTGCTACTACTATTACTTCATGTTGTTATTTTAAGATGACTTCGAGCAAAATAACACCAGCAACAACAACAACCACACAACAGCAGCATCCTCAGAAACCGTAAAATGTTAACAATAAATGTCCATTTAAATATTTTTTTTTTTTTAATTTTGGAAAAAAAAATTAATTTCCATTTAAATAAATTTCCATGCCATTGAAAATAGGGCTGTGGAGTTATTGGCTAGAAGCAATGTTTTTGGAACCTTTGAGAGTCGTAAGGACTCAAATTGTAGGTCTAAAAAAATTCTTCAATTAAATCATTAAAACAAAAATTGTGGTCAACCTTGATTTGAAACTCAAAAGCCTTTCAAGATTTTCTCTTCTAGAGCTAGAGAGAGAGAAAAACAAAAACGGATATAAATTCTAGGATTTAAACATTTTACAGTTCCCTTAAGAGCCCCAACTGCATTATGGCTCCCTTAAGAGCCCCTCTTTAAGGTCTTCTGTTGATTTTTGAACTCCACAGCCCTGTTGAAATTTTCTTTAAAATTTAGACACATTTTTGTTAACATTTCCCTCACACTCACATCCAGCCACATTTATATTCTCCTTGACTAACTATTATCTCCTTTTGTAATCTTGATTATCTGTTTGTATTTTCTAAATTTAACATTTATAAAAAAAAATTAATTTGAGAATTAAAGAAAAAATATAAAATATATATTTTATTGTAAATGTTTCCTTTGTGGAAACCTTAAAAAAATTGTTTTTGAAAATTTTGTAATTTTTGTTTTTTTTTTTTTGAAAATTTTGTAATTTTTTTTTTGTTTTAAGAAATTTTTTAGTTTTGTAATTCCATATTCTTGCCAGAATTGTTAGCAGAATATTTCTGAACTAAATTTTTTTAATTGTAAAATATTCAAAACTTTGAGGAAAAATTGATTCACAATGTAAAAACCTTGATTGGGCGCCATTTGAATATAAAGCAATTGTAAATGTCCTATATTTTAGGGCTCATGAGCGGGTTGGTAATTTGATAAATGAAAAATGTATTAGTCCATACATTGCCAAAAATAAATGTAATTAGGATTCCAATAGGAAGCCATGGAAACGAGTCCAACATTGGGCGCCGAAATGTATAACTGAATAATGATTTATTTTCCATATTCTTTTAAATGAAAGCTCTAACAATTCTATAATCAAAAATGAATTAATTACCAAAATTTAGAAAATGTAATTAGCATTAATAACAAATTCCGTCAGGCCTAAATTAGGTGCCGCTTTTTTGTTGTACAATATTGAAAATTTAAGTTGATACACAATGTGGAATCCTTGATTGGGCGCCATTTGAATAAAGAAATTGTAAATGTCCTGTATTTTAGGTCTTATGAGCGGTTGGGAATTTGATTAATGAAAATGTATTAGCCCATACATTGCCCGAAATAAATGTAATTAGGATTCCCATAGGAAACCACAGAAATCAGTCCTACCTTGGGCGCCAATTGTATAACTGAATAATGATTTATTTTCCAAATTCTTGTAAATTAAAGCTCTAAGAATTCTATGATTAAAAATAAAGTAATTACCAAAGCTTGAAAATTCCTTTGAAAATGGTAACAAAAATCGTGAGAGGCCTAGATTGGGCACCAAAATGTTAAATGAAATAATGATTTAGTCACACATTGGGCGCCGAATTGCTGAAAGAATTAATGACTTAGTTTTCATATTCTTCAATATAAAAGCTGTAAAAATTCTATGACCAAAAATTAAGTCATTGCCATAATTTATAAAATGTAATGAAAAAAAAAAATAATAACAAAATCCTGTCAGACCTAGATTGGGCGCCAAATGTCTTAAAGAAATAAGGACTTACTTTTCATATTTGTCAATAGTTAAACTATTAAAATTCTCTGAACAAAAATGAAATAATTATCAAATCCTGAAGAAAAAAAATGAAGGTAGTCTTAAAAATCCCGTCAGCCCCAGATTGGACGCCAAATTGCTTCAGAAATAAGGACTTACTTTCTATATTTGTCAATTGTTAAGATATTAAAAATTATGTGAACAAAAATAAAATAATTATCAAACTCTAAAAAAAAAACAATGAAGATAGTCGCAAAAATCCCGTCAGCCCCACATTGGACGCCAAATTATTTGAAGAATCAATAATCTAACTTCCATGCTTTTCAACTTTTAAAATTCTATGACAAAAATTAAAAAATACGATGCTTGAAATACCCAATGAAAGTAATGACAAAAATCCCGTGAGTGCCAGGTTGGGCGCCAAATGACATAAAGAAGTAATGACTTAGTTTTCATATTAGTCCATTGTTGAGCAATTAAAATTCTGTGAACAAAAATAAAATAATGATCGAATTTTGAGAAATTTAATGCAAACCAAAAATCCCTTCAGGTACCAGATTGGGCGCCAACTTATTTAAAAATGCAATGACTTAATTTTCATTGTTGTCAACATTAAAGCCCCAAAAATTTTAAGTACAAAAATGAAAGAACTCACGAAGTTCTGAGAAATCCAATGAAAATAGTAACAAAAAATACCGGCAGTTCAATTTGGGCGCCATTGTTTAAAGAAATAAGAATTTAGTTTCCATATTTGTCAATTGTTAAGCAATCTGTGAACAAAACTAAAATAATTTTCAAATTTTTAGCAATTCAATGGAAATAGTAACAAAATTCCTGTCAGTCCCAAATTGGGCGCCAACTTATTTAAATATGCAATGACTTAATTTTCATATTTGTCAACAATAAAGCCCCAACAATTCTAAGAACAAAAATGAAATAACTTACGAAGTTCTGAGAAATCCATTGAAAATAGTAATAAAAAATACCGCCATTCTACATTGGGCGCCAAATTGCTTAGAGAAGTAATGAATTAGTTTTCATATTTATCAACATTAAAACTCTCTATGACCAAAAATGCAATTATTACAAAAATTTTGAGAAATTCAATGCGAGGAGCAACTAAAAACCCGTCAGCCCCAGATTGGGCGCCAATTTGACTTAATATGAAAGGAACATTAAGTGAAATAAATTTATATTGAAAGGCATTGACTATGCTGGATTCTAAACCAGAATCACGAGGTTAAATAATATCTGAATTCTTTTTATATTCAAACCGCTGGAATTAAATACCGAAATAATTAACAAATTTTGAGAAATTCAATGCAGATATTAAAAAAAAAATCCGCCAGGCCTATATTGGGCGCCAATTTGCCTAATATGAAATAAACATTAAGGGAAGAATATCTAATTAGAAAGACGTTCACAATGATAGATTGTAAACCTGAATGACGAGACAAAATAATGCCTCAATTAATTTTGAAATTAAAGCCGCTGGAATTAGATCCCGAGATTGGGCGCCAATTAAGGTTTTGTCCTTAGACCCCAACAAATTTACATTCGAAGAATGATCTTTGTTGAAAAGCAGAAAACGATAATAATTTAAAAGTCACGTTTCATTTAGATCCCGATATTGGGCGTCACTATAAGTTAAGGGTTTGGTACCCAGTCATTTTTTCATTTTTTCTAGGTCCTTCTGTTCAATACTAGTCCATGGGAAAAAAAAGAAAGTTGAGATTTGGGGTCCACTTTGGGCGGCAACTTACATTATTTCAAAAATTAAAAAAAAATATTTTTTTAAATATTAAATACTTGTACATACACGAAATTTAATTGTAGCCGAATATTTGAAAATTTCCCTGCCCCAGGTTAGGCGCCACTTACCTCAATAAACCTACGAAGTTTCAAGAATTTTATTATTTTATTTTGGGGTATTGAGAGTTCCACATCAGTTTGGGTGCCAACTAATAAAGTCATCGGGATCTGAACATTGTATGAGAAAAGAATACAAAAACACTAGAATATGCCAGTGTTTTTAACACTCGAACATCCCAGTCAGTTTTATACGTGGAATCTTCAAAACATAAACTTTAATATTGTACTTCTGATTGGGCGCCACTTGTGCCTTTTTTCAATAATTGTCAAAAATAAAAAAAAAAAAAAAAAAAAAAAAAAAATAAAAAAAAAATCGAGAAACCCTGGAATTTCCTTTTAAAATTTGAGACATAAAAAAAAATTCTATTAGACAATATATTGGATTTTAATATCTTATTGCCCTTATTGGACGCCACTTTCCACCAAAAATCCTTAGAATTTTTTTCGTGGGATTTTTTTTAGATTTTTTTTCTGGAGTTCAGAACGAGTTTTGGAGTCAAAAGAACAGGAACATGACCAAAACACAGGATTTAAAGTAATCTGTGACACTTAATATGTTTTTTTTTTTTTTCAAATTAAGGTATGCCTCCTATTGGACGCCACTTTCCACCAAAAATCCTAAGGATTTTTTTCGAAGGATTTTTGTTTAGTTCGGTATGAGTTTTGGCGTCAAAACAACAGGAACATGACCAACACACTAGATTTGAAATAATTTATGCTACTGAATATTGGCTTTTAAGTTAACGTATGCCCCTTATTGGGCGCCACTTTCCACCAAAAATCCTAAGAATATTTTTTTCGAGGGATTTCTTTTTAGTTCGGAATGAGTTTTAGAGTCAAAACAACTGGACCATGACCAAAACATAGCATTTAAAATAATTTATGTCACTGAATATTGGCTTTTAAGTTAACGTATGCCCCTTATTGGGCGCCACTTTCCACCAAAAATCCTTAGAATTTTTTTCGATGGATTTTTTTAGTTCGGTATGAGTTTTGGCGTCGAAGCAACAGGAACAAGGCCAAAACAAAAAATTTAAAATTACTTATGTCACTGAATATTGGCTTTTAAGTTAACGGGTGCCACTTATTGGACGCCACTTTCCACCAAAAATACTAAGAATTTTTTTCGTACGAATTTTTTCATTTTGGTATGAGTTTTGTCGGCAAAACAACAGGAAAATGACAAAAACACTGGATTTGAAATAATTTATGTCACTGAATATTGGCTTTTAATTTAACGTATGCCCGTTATTGGGCGCCACTTTCCACAAAAAAATCCTGGATTTTAAATAATTAATGTCACTGAATATTGGATTTTATGTCAACGTATGCCCCTTATTGGGCGCCACTTTTCACCAAAAATCCTAAGAATTTTTTTTCGAGGGTTTTTTTTAGTTCGGTTTGAGTTTTGGCATCAAAACAACAGGAAAAAGACCAAAACACTAGATTTGTAATAATTTATGTCCCTGCTTGGGCGCCACTTGACCAGAAAATTCTGCTAACATTAAAACGTTTTCAATGAAATCTTTATACCATTTCATTTTTTTTTTTTTTTTCAAAAATCAAAAACCCAAAAACAGACAACAGGGACATGGTCAAAACACTGGATTTAAAATATTTTTTTTTATCCCTGCTTGGGCGCTACTTGACATGAAAATTCTGCTAACTTAAAAAAGTTTTTAATGAAATCTTTATACGATTTACATTTTTCTTTTTCAAAAATCAAGAACCCAAAAACAAACTACAGGAACATGACCTAAACACTGGATTTGAAATAACTTATGACCCTACTTGGGCGCCAATTTACAAAAAAATTCTGCTAACATTAAAAAGTTTACAATTAAATCTTTATCTGATTCCAATTTTTCTTTTTCAAAAATCAAGAACCCAAGAATTTCTAATTTTTTTTTAATTTCAAATTTTTTGTTTTTTTTTTTTTGTAATTTTAATCAAATATTTTTTGTCTCCCTTTCATTTGGGAATCCCGGTATAAGCAACTAAATAAGTTAAAAAATCAGCAAGGCAATTCAAAACAATTAATGATAATAATACCGAATAACATAACCTGTAAGAGTTTTAATCATAAAATATGGAAAAAAAAAAAACAAATAATAAAGGAGAATCGACAGTATAGGAGGAGGAAGAGGATGACTAATAAAAGAAAGCAAGCAAGTTGAAAATAATGAATCCCCCAAACTTTTTAAATAATTTATAAGAAATTATTTAGAATTACTTTATAAGGAACGAAGAAATTTGAATTTTCTCTAGTTCTCTAAACTATTAAAAAAATTTAAAAAAATTAATTAAAAAATAATAATTATTATTTATTTTTTATTTTCTTAAAATAAACCTGTATTTGTCTTTATTTGTGTCTTTCTAATAATCTTCAACACCACTACCATTTTTCATTTTTGTTTTCAATTTAGTATTATTTATTTTTTTTTTAAATACTATTTTTAGTTTTTCTTTTTATTTCTGTATTTTAAAAACAATATATGAATATATATTTATTTAAAAAAAATCTAAGTATGGAAGCAAAATAAGTAACTTTGTTTAATCCTATATATGAAATAATATAATTTTCTGTTTCATTCTTCTATCATTATTATTTTTTGTTAATTTATTGTGAATTTTTTTTCTTGTCAATTTTAAAACAACCACCAACACCACAATCAACATTAAACATATATGCTTGAGCATTTAATTCAATAAATGTGTTTCACTTTAATTATTTCTATAATTTTGTTTTATTTTTATCTGTTGTTTTAGGGTTTTATTAAAAAAAAAAACTTTTTTTTTTTGATTTTTCATTTGGGCGCCACTTGAAGTTAAAATCTTCGAGAAGAGCCAATCCAAAGGTGGATGTTATTTTTAGAGAAAAAATTGTAACATTTTTCTTACCCTTACAATGTTGGGTTTCCTGAGACCCCCATGTGGGCTCGAGGTTCCTAAAAAAATTAATTATATAGCCTCTTTGGTCGAGGTTGGTTCTTCGAGACAATTCCTAGAAATTCAGATAGTTTTGCAATTATTGGGCGGTTCATTGAATTGGAATTGGAAAAAGACAACAAACATCTCCTAGAACGACCTGAGGAAGACGTAGCGAAAAGTAGTCTGTAGGAGGACTGAGGCAGCAATCGGGTCTTGACAATTTTTCTCCATATCCAGTATTTGAGATCCGCTGTATATTTTTTAATGGATTGGAATTTGGAAAAGAAAACAAACTCCAATATTTGACAGCGTTTCCGTATTTATTTAAAAACATTTTCTGGAACGACCTGAGATAGGTATCGCGAAAACTCTGTAGAAGGACTGAGGCAACTGCGGTGACTAATGTCCCTAAAATCGTAGAAAATACCGAATATTGGGAGGTGCCCTTATATGGGGGCTATACGATATCGTGGAACGATATAGATAATTCTCTACCAGGAGATAAATTACTTACAAGGAACTGCTTGTGTGGATTTTCAGGCAATTCCATTGAAAAATGTCACTAAAATCGTAAGACACCGAATATGGGGTGGTGCCGTTATATGGGGGCTATATGACATCTGGGACCTATATAGTCTATTCTCTTTCTCTTTCTTCTACTCATGAAGAACACCTTGTGAAGAGATTCAGACAATTTCATTGAAAAATTTGGCTACGATCATCAAAATACCGAATATCGGAGTGGTACCTTTATATGGCGGGCTATACGATATCGAGGACCGATATAGCCCATCTTCGAACTTGACCTGCCTGCAGACAAAAGACTGATCTGACAAAATTTTAACTTCCTATTTTTAATCCTTTGACTACAATATATGGACATGCATGAGGATTTAATAGGTTATACACAAAATTCCGGTTCCCATTGGGGGCCAACTGAAAATTGCATTACAAAAATGTCCATTGAGAGTTTCGGATCAGTTTATTGGACATCATTTGCCAAGAAATACAAAATACAGCAATTACATGATTGAAAGAATTATACAGCAAAGGTCTATTGGTCCACATTGGGCGCCAACTATTCTTTTGTTAAAAAAAAGAAAATGGCATACCCCGAATTGGACAACACCAGATTGAAGATAAAATCTGTTAAAAGATCCATCAAAAACACATTTAAAAATTGCCTCTTGTTTTGGGGTTACTCCGATTGGGCGCCGATTTAAAATCTGAATGCAATTTTAAATAATCGAATTTTTTTATCTGTTTTATTTTTTTAATTAAATTGTTATTCTTTGTGTTTTTTATAAACTTCTTAAAATATTTTTATTTTATTATTTTATTTTTCATTATTTTTTTTATAAAAAAATAACAACATTTTTAAATGGTCTTCGATTGGGCGCCATTTTCTCAGGTGTGAGTAAAAGCATGAAGATTTTCAAAACTCGAGAATACATCAGATTGAAGTTTAAATCTATTAAAAGATTCATCAAAAAGTACATTTGAAAATGACCTCTTGTTTTAATTCTGTGGCTATTTTGATTGGGCGCCATTTTCTCAGGTGGCAGTAAAAGTATGCAATTTTTCAAAAATCAATAATATTTTTTAATACATTGTTAATATTTTTAATACATTGATAATATTTTTAATATATTAATAATTATTTTATAAATATTGAAAAATACATTTTAAAATAATATTTTATATTTTATACATTTTTTATTTGTTTTTTTTTTCTAATTTTTTTATTTTGTGAAAAAAAAAGGTTCAAAATTAAAAGTTTTTTTAAAGTTAACATTTTTATTTATTTTTTTTTTAAAAATTTTTTATTATTATCAATACTATTAAAAAATAAATCTTAAAAAAAAAAACATTTTAAAATAACGTTTTATAATTTATTTATTTTAAATTTTATTTATTTTTATTAGTTTTTTATATATTATTATGTGTTTTGTTTTTATTTAAAAATTATATTTTTATTTACATTTTTTTCAATTATACTTTTAAATTATTTATTTTTATCATTATTATTTAGAAAGAAAAGTAATTTTTAAAAAATAAAATTTAAAACAATATTTTATAATTTATTTATTTTGAATTTTAGTAATTTTTTCTTCATTTTATTATGCATTTTTTTTTTATTTTGTAAGAAAAATATGTTTTGAAATTAAATTTTTATTTATAATTTTTCAATTGTATTTTTTAAATAATTTATTATTATTTTTTTTTAAATTAAACTTTTTAAAAATACATTATAAAATAATGTTTTATAATTTATTTAATTTTCTATTTGTTTTTTTTAATAATTATCTTTTTTTATTTTTCGAAAAAAAAATAAGTTTTAAAATTAAAATTTTTATTCATATTTTTTCAATTGTATTTTTCAAATAATTTATTAGTATTATTATTATTATTATTTTTTAAAAAAGTTAAATTATAAAAAAATACATTTTAAAGTAATATTTTATAGATTATTAATTTTATTATGTGTTTTTTATATTGTAAAAAAAAAATTCTAATTTTTTTTATTTTTTTTTCTTTAAATAATTCGTTATTTATTATGATATTATGGTAATAATGATATTATATTTTACAAAATGTTATTTTATTTATTTTTAATTTTTTTTTATCTCATTATGTGTTTATTTAATTATGTTATATAATAACTATAATAATAATAATATTATTATTATTATTAGTATTATTATTATTATTATTATTATTATTATTATTATTGTTATTATTATCATCATCATTCTTTTTTTATAAAATCCCCAAAAAAACTTAAATTTGTTACTACAATTAATTAAATTAATTGCAATTATCTTACCTTCATAATTAATCATAAAACAAACACCAATTTTTGCATTATAAAATAAAAGCAAAATTAAAAAAAAAAAAAATACAAATAATTTTTAACAAAATTTAATATCAAATTTTTTCATCGACTTAAGCTTAGTTTTTAATTCCAAACGACAAAAAACAAAAAACAATCCCTTTGAAATATTTTTATTATATGAAAAAAAAAAAATTAAAAAAAAATTAAAAAACTAATCATCGATGAAAAAATAAAAAAAAACTAATAAAAAACCTAATTAGATAGTAGTGCCTTTTTTGCCTCCCGTTATAAATTTCATAAATATTTGTTAACAATACAAGAACAACAACAACAAGCAACATTTAACAAAAAAATATACATATATAAAAACATACTTACATACATTGAAAATAATAAAAAAAATACATTAAAAAATAAAAAAAAAAAAACAAAATAAATAAAACTTAAAAAACTAACATTTTATTGGACAAATTGGAAAGAAATCTGTTACATCAATGTTATCAATTTAAAAAAATATATATATAAATTAAAAAAAAAAAAAATAATAATAATAATAAAAACCAAAGAAACCTACTATAGTAGTATCAGTAACGCATGACAATTCATAAAAATTAATCATAAAATTTAACTATTAATTTCTTAAATTAAAATTAAAGAAAAAAATACAAAAAATGATTTCAAAAATAGTTTTCTGAGGAGAATGTGGGAAAATTACAATTCTTCAAAAAAAAAAAAAGAAAAATAATAATAATAATAATAATAATAATAATAATAATAATAATAATAATAATAATAATAATAATAATAATAATAATAATAATAATAATAATAATAATAATAATAATAATAATAATAATAATAATAATAATAATAATAATAATAATAATAATAATAATAATAATAATAATAATAATAATAATAATAATAATAATAATAATAATAATAATAATAATAATAATAATAATAATAATAATAATAATAATAATAATAATAATATAATAATAATAATAATAATAATAATAATAATAATAATAATAATAATAAAATAAAAATATAAAAATAAAATAATAAAAAAATAAATAAATAAAAAAATAAAATTCGACAGAAGTCCTTGAAACTAAAGTCTTAATTTTGTTTCAGTTATTTTTTTCAAAACATAAAAGAAACTTAAAAAAGCTCTTCAATAACTCTAATATTCTTTAAAAAATATTTTTGTCTCAGATCTGATGACCCTTTGGCTAATACTTTTTATGCTACTGTATTTTTTTTTTAAATTATTTGTATTTTTTTTTTAAATTATATGCAATAATTTTTAGGTAAAATTTGACTTTTCGCATCTTTTTTATTTGCCGACTCTGATATGGAGAAGCCCTAAAAATACCCTCCTCAGGATATCCTCATTTAATATACTTTTTGATTGGGCGCCAGGAGACTTTTTATTTTATTTTTATTTTTATTTTTTTTTTTTTTTTTGAATTTTTATGTCTAAACCCAATATTTTTCCCATCTTTTGTATTTCCCCATCAAGTTTCCAACATCTTCAAAAACTGTTTTTGAAATTATCTAATAAAATGAGTCAATTATGTATAATTTCAAAACTATTTCCTATAATTTGTATTATACATACATATAATATAAATAAATTTATGTATTTAGGAAATAATAAAAATTTTAATTTTTTATTTATTTAAAAAAAATGTTTTTTGTAGCCAAAAAAAAGGAAAATAAAACTATATATCATAACTGTAAAAAAAATCTTAAACAAAATTTTGTTTGAAAACTAATTAAAAATTAAAAAAAAAAATAATGACTCACACACATCTACCCCTAACCCTTATACATATACAAAAAAATCTATATCAAAAAATCCAACTCCAAATTACATGAAAATATATATTATAAATATATATTAATTTAAAAAACCAAAAAAAAAAAAAAAAAAAAAACTTATATAAATATCTAACGAATACATC